TTCCTTGGCTTTGTGTTTGGGCTCATTGTCTTGCTGAAATGTCCAGCCACGTTTCATCTTCATCATCCTGGTAGATGAGAAACAAGAAGTCCATTTACTGAGATTTGTGAATTGTTATTAAATGTTTTATTGTTACTTTCACCTGTCACTGACTTCATCGTTTCCCACAATATTTTTGGATTCTTACTGGCTGAAATAATTTGATTTTTAAAATATTTTTGTTTGTCTTTGCGTAATTCAGCAACACATTTATTTCAGTAACTGTTTAAACGAGACCGATTTTCAGAAGTTTTTGATTTTCTATAAGTTTTCATTGAAGAAGCTTTCARCTTTAGGAGATGTATTATAGAGGCATTCAACCATGGAGTTTTATTTTTCTGACTGGAACTTTACAAGTTTAAATATATTTTCCTGTATTGTCTCCAACTTATAAAAATTTGACAAAATGTGATTTGGATTTGACAGAAATCCCCTCATTCCAGTTAGTATTCTCAATCTGAATATGAAACTTGGCTAACTTTGATTTCTGAATCCTTTTAATGAAATTATGCACAGTTTAGTCTTCCTCACTGTCGGGTTTCAGTCGTGGCTTCAACACAGTGGTCTGTGGTACAGAACCTGCACAGACACACACACACACACACACACACACACTGAGATCTGGACTTCGGTCTCTGTCAGAACTCTGTCCTGACACCTGCAGGCTGATTGTCCTCAGCTCGTCTCACGGGGACAGTCTTTACTGACCCACTTCAGATAGATTTAGTCTCAGAGCGGAGCCAGTCTGAACACATCTGGGTCCAAAATAAAGAACCAGAAAAGTCCAACTTTCTGTGACCCGTTAGAACCTGATGGTTCTGATGTGAGGTGGGAGCTGTAGATCCAAACAGGACTGGGTTTTGTTGAATTGGTTTCTGATATCAAAGAACCTGATGAGGTTTGATCAGTTTAATGTGACATTTCCATTAAAGCTGCAGCTCAGAGGGAGGTGCTTCCCTTCAGAAGGAACCTGCTGCTCAGAGGAAACACCTCCTCCTGATGACACCAGGGGACCTCCAATCACAGCTCAGAGCCCCCCACAGATAATTATCCAGCTGGAAATATCAGTGAGTCATGTGGGCTGGTCCCGGTGCTGCCAAGTCCTTTCATGAGCCCACCAGGTCCAACAGTTTAATGTCAGGACGCCATCTTTGCCTCAGAGACTAACTCAGAGTAACTCAGAAAGTAACTCAGAAAGTAACTCAGAGTAACTCAGAGTAACTCAGAAAGTAACTCAGAGAGTAAATTAGAGTAACTCAGAAAGTAACTCAGAGTAGCTCAGAGTAACTCAGAAAGTAACTCAGAGTAACTCAGAAAGTAACTCAGAGTAACTCAAAGTAACTCAGAGTAACTCAGAAAGTAACTCAAAGTAACTCAGAGTAACTCAGAAAGTAACTCAGAGTAACTCAGAAAGTTACTCAGAGTAACTCAGAGAGTAAATCAGAGTAACTCAGAAAGTTACTCGAGTAGCTCAGAGTAGCTCAGAAAGTAACTCAGAGTAACTCAGAGTAACTCGAAGAGTAAATCAGAGTAACTCAGAAAGTAACTCGGAGTAACTCAGAAAGTAACTCAGAGTAACTCAGAGTAGCTCATATTAACTCAGAATAGCTCAGAGTAACTCAGAAAGTGACTCAGAGTAACTCAGAATAGCTCAGAGTGACTCAGAGTAACTCAGAGTAGCTCAGAATAGCTAAGAGTAACTAAGAATAACTCAGAAAGTAACTCAGAGTAACTCAGAAAGTAACTCAGAGTAACTCAGAGTAACTCAGTGAGTAACTCAGAGTAACTCGGAGAGTAAATCAGAGTAACTGAAAGAGTAACTCAGAGTAACTCAGAGAGTAAATCAGAGTAACTCAGAGAGTAACTCAGAATAGCTCAGTCACTCAGAGTAACTCAGAGTAACTCAGAAAGCAACTCAGAGTAACTCAGAGAGTAACTCAGAGTAACTCAGAGAGTAAATCAGAGTAACTCAGAGAGTAACTCCGAGTAACTCAGAAAGTAACTCAGAGTAACTCAGAGAGTAACTCAGAGTAAATCAAAGTAACTCAGAAAGTAACTCAGAGTAACTCAGAGTAACTCAGAGAGTAAATCGGAGTAACTCAGAAAGTAACTCTGAGTAACTCAGAAAGTAACTCTGAGTAACTCAGAAAGTAACTCTGAGTAACTCAGCTCATCTGCAGCTCATCTTCATTGAGCTGCAGAGGTTTGTGAAGCGCAGCAGCTCTTAATGCACTCTGATGTTCTGATGGGATTACCTGAGAATCCCAGAAGACATCACTCAGCAGCTTGTTGGAGTCTGTTGCTCCTGAAAACACCACAGCCTCTGTGAGGTCACAGAAACCATCCAGAGGGAGGGGGTCCTTCAGAGATGTTCTCTCCTATCAGGACATCTTCATCCCAGCAGGTCCTCCTCAAATTTCTGCTTTGTCCAAGAAATCCAGCCTGTTCCAGTTCTAATCTCTGGTTTGACTGACCCCCCCCCCCCCCCCCCC